CGAATAAACATCTGAAGAAGTAGAGATGCATAAGACGTAAATTGCCGTTATTTTTTTTTTGTATGAAAATGTAATTATTATAGTAACCACCACACCCGGGCCCTGTTTTGACCTAATAAAAGCGTGTATAATATGATTTTCGATTCTAATATGAATAATGCATTCGTGCAATTTTTTCAATTGTTTCAAAGCGATCGTAATACTTACACGAATGCCTTCGCCCCAAAGGCGTCGCCAAAAACACATACACACACCCTTATGGTGGAGTATACCAGTCAAAAAGCCAAATTCAGCGTATTTGGGTAAAATACAGTGTATTTTAGGTCCAAATGATTCGGGAACTACGCCGTATTTCACCCTAATACACTGTATTTCACCCAAATACATTATAACCAAATGGTCTCACACACACACACTCACACACACACACACACACACACACACACACACACACACAATATAGTATGACCAACGACATTTTTGACTCACAATGACCTGAAGTAGAAAGACAAGTCGTTATTCCATGCATCACTGGGTCGGACTCCAGTGCTGAAACTGAAGTATCCCTAAGTTTGCTGTCTAATTTGCGCCTCACAGGTGAGAATATCTTCACTGTACAAATTCTCAGTCTCTGTGGAAGTTTAGGAAGCTTCCAAAAATCACCACTAGTATATTTGGCTATATATGACAAAAGGAAAGGAAAGGTCTCCCATGCTTCTTATGCAGAGCGTAGGCTAGGGTGGTGCCCATCTCCATTTCTGTAGCCCTTGGGCGACACACAGTTGTGCAATGCACTACAGCAGGGGGCTGGTCCGCTGGTAGTGCTGTGTGTTTGACCTCCCCACACTTTTTCGCATATGTGCTGAGTGCTAAGCAGAGAATTTCAAAGAAGTGTACCATTTTTAAAGTCTTTGGTATGACCCGGCCGGGGTTTGAACTCACGACCTCCCGGTTACAAAGCGAGCACTCTACCAATTGAGCTATTGCACCGGTTTGACAAAAGCCAGTATCAAATTGATAAGACAGTAAAATTCATTCGCCAGAGAGGGTCCCTTGGGTCGCGTATGGACCCTCTCTGGCCAATGAATACTGCCTGGCCAATTTGATACTGTCTTTAGCCACCCTAGGATCTGCTTGGATATTATTGGCACAAAAGTTCAGCCGTCAGGTGGTTGAGTTTTAGTGCATGCTCGAATTAAGCATTGTACACCTTCAGATCTAAAATATAGCGTAGAGCGTACAGTATCTTAATATTAGCATGATACAGAGTCCTTCTGAATTAACCATTAAAGCGGCCGGGACAAACAATTATGAACACCATTTGCGTATAGAATTTGTTTATTCTTCGTTCACGCAAAATTTAGTAGCGCGATCGGGCCCCGCCATGTTGGAAATAAGACCTTGGCAAAATTAATGGCAACCTTCGCACGCCCATTATCCAGTTCATGGAGGCAGAACAAATGTGTCTCACTTAAGGTTGAATATCAAAGAATATCAAAGAATAGCGTATTTCTCCATTTTTAGTCAGATGAAGGTAATCGTCATCAAACATGACTGAATTTTCAAAAAACGTGTTATGTGCAGGTGAAAAATTCACAAGATTAAGGTACCGCATATTTTATCATCTGGTTAAAAAAAATGATCGTGAGGTTTAAAGTTGTTTTTCTCTCCCAACGTACAGCAACATGGCGGACGCCTGGAGGCAGTGGATTGTTAAGTACAGGGTGATAGGTCCTGTATTCGTACTGAGTACTGTGACCTTGCTGTACGGCAGTAAGGTATATCTTCTTCTTCTTTCTGCAAGGTGTTCGTCGTATCGAAGATTTTGTCACCGTGACGGATTTACTCAAATTACTGCGCAAATTACTGTGATATGTAATGAGGTGGGGATCACGAGACTTGTATCATGGACTTAAAGCCCTCCAGATTGGTGCAGAGAGCATTGTCCTCTGGCGGGTTGTTCCAATCCCGGATAGTGCGCAGGAAGAAAATTTTATCTCTGTAAATAGTTCTACACTATAAACGACAGCT